ACCTTGAGACCTGTTTTGTTATGTCTTTTCATTTCTGAATCTAGTATTATGCTATGGTTCCTGTGTGGGCCACACATTTGTATTACCTCTTGCTCTATGCCTAAAACCAATGAAAAAAAAAAAACTGAATTGAAAACTCATCGACCCAATATACAGTATGTTGGAGAGCAAAGCTGACATGAATTTATTTTTTTTTTTTTTTTGAGTAAAATCACTTAAAAAGGCAATAAAAAGTGTCCAGCCATTTGAGGCATACTCGCCTTTCCTTTAGGATAGTTATCACCTTTATCAGAATTTCAGAGATGGTTCATGTAGGGGCAAGATACAGATAAAACATTGCTTTCATATGCTGCAGTGGACAACCTTCTTCATAAAAATGTGCCCAGCAATGTGAACTCCACTCCACCACTGTGCCATATAAAATGGCTTACCGGAGAGCCATGACCCCCATTTTCTGAGTGGTCAAATGCGCTAGAATGCTAAAAGCATCCTGGAAAACAGCCTCCCTGTTCAATCTCACCAAGAGTTTCACATATATGGAAAGAGAAGTTATGACTATCCTGTTTTAGTCACACTGTCAAAAGAGAGAGAAGGAAGTAATGTTTGGGAAGGTGGAAGGCACTAGACGAAGAGGGAGACCGACTACTAAATGGTTGGACCCACTGACTACAGCTGTGGGGATGACACAGGAAGATCTTGCAAGACTAGCACAAAATCGACTTCTCTTTAAATTTCTCATTTATCAAGTCACTAGGACTTAGACCCGACACTTAATACCAGGTCAAATCCAAATACTTACATGCACTAGTTGCTTTTAAAAATATATTAAAGTAGTTGTAAACCCTTACATATACCCATTGAAGTGACCGGGCCCCAGGTGATACACAGAGATGAAACAAATCCTCCTACATAAGTTGTACCTCCTTATCTGCAGTCTTCTCTTCTCTACAGCCTTTCAAAGTGCAGAATTATTAAAGTTTGAGAGCTCAGAAAAATGGGACAGAGAGCTGAAATGACACTGCAGAAATCAGCGAGGAGAGCTCGTTTTTCTCTTGGTGTCAGAAAACTTGTGAGACGTGATTCATTCTGATAGCAGATGAATGAGGCAGCAGAAATAAATGTCACTTAATGCTCTTAATTGAGACAAGTACACACTATAGAGGGATATGCTTTGTTTATATTTCATGTCTGAGGTTTGCAACCACTTTAAGTATTTTTTATCTAGTAGAGGTAGTACTTGGGTCACTGTAAAACCATAAATATTTGTTCATTTTAACTTGGAGTATAACAAATATACGTTTTATAGCGTACACTTAGCTGACCACAAGAGGGCAGTATTGTATAACATGTTTAAAAAAAACCTTGTAACAGCAAATTCTGGTGTAAAATTCATTAATTGATTCTGCTAAGGCCATTGAGTACTGAGTGAAAAGCATCTCAAATGAATATCATTGAAAGACCACACTTTTTAAGAGGTCTTAAAGGATCCTTGCTCTGTTTCACACACTAGACTTGATGTAACATATTTACAAATGTGCCTTTTATGTGCATATTTATTTGAAATAATCTTTCTAAATATAATGGGTAACAACATTAGTTTCTTTTTTGTATTTATATATGATGTATTTGTAAAGTCTCCCATGAGCAGTTTCATGTAAGTAAGACAATATTAGTTAAGTTTACACTTACGATATTTGCTGTCGATCTTTCAAGTACACCTCTCATCAGCTCATTATATCCTTTTATTTCCTTTAACAGAAATATAGATGTAAACATATTTGTCAGCGCCTATGTTATGTATTAATCACAAAGACATAAAATGTTATGAGTATATCTGGGTGGGCCTCTTTTTTTCTATGGTTGAAGTGTTGGCAGCAGATGACTAACTAAAATTTATTGATTTGAGCAGATTTTAAATTATTAGTGTGTTGTGCATTTTGGTTTCCCAAATATGTAACTGGTTTTTTTTTTTTAAATTTTATTTATTAACACTGTTTATAAATTTGAGTCAAGAAATTACGATTTATATACATGTTATGTTATGACACGTATTTAAAGCTGGAAGGAAGAAAATGGTTTGTATTGCCCGTAGTCAGTTCATTTCTTTTATCTTCTAGCCTGCGCTGAAAAAAATGACAGCGGGAAATAGAATGTTTGCTATTGACACCACAGACACAAACCTTTCTTCTAATTATAATACATAACAGGCCTCATTAATCAAAAAGTCTGAGGAAAGCAGCGTTCCAAACAAGCTGTGTCACTCCACAGCAACTAGATTTTTCTTGCTTGGTATAGATGGAGAATGAAAGTGACTATCAGGTTGCTACTTTATGTATCCTGCAATTATTTATAAAAAAGAATACAATACGTAAAATGAAATAGAGATGTTGATCAAAAATAATAAAAGACATGTTAAACCTGAACTCCAAGGATCTAGCTAACTTTGTAAATGCAGATCCCTCTCCTTAAGCTGTGTTTAAACTGTTAACATAGTTTAAATCATGTTACCTTACTTTTCTACTAATCCAACATTTCCAGTCCCATTGACGTCATGAGGTCCTTGGAAAATAGTGATCCTTCCTGGTGCCAGGAGGAGGACTTTCTCTCTTGCTACTCATCACATCCAAGCAGGTAAAATGGTCTACATTTCCCATGATGCAAAGGGAAGTGCAGAAATGAGAGGCAGTGTGTGCAGCCAGTCTGTGGAGGAGAGGAGGAGCGGAGAGTGGAGTTGGTGCTAAGGACTGTATCTCCCACATAGCCAGCCACTCTTCTGATACTCACAGTCGGTGGCTCAGACCAGGAGTCTCAAACTCTCGAGTCCTCCCACTACAGAGAGCAGGGATGCAGTTGCGTCCCTGCTTGCTGTTAAGAACTACAGAGGTACAGAGAAAATACCGATGGCCAGGCGGATACACAGCATAGTGGCCATCAGTCTTGCAATACAAGTGTTACAAGGAAGGAAGCCTTAATTTAAAAAATACACCCTGGATTTCTCAAATGGGGCACAGTGGGGAAAGAAAAAATAAGTATTTTATATTAAGGTATGAAAGCACCAGTGCTTACAGGTATTACAATTTCTGCCGGCAGTTCTGCTTTAATTAGTAGTACTCAAATGTGTACTCAATGTACTGCATGTGAAGGAAAAAGGTGTCTGTGAAATTGAAATGAAGGAAGTTTACATTTAATCTCTAGACTTCTGCATGGTATATTAATGGTAGTGTGGGCAGGCTATGGCATAGCGCAGTGGTCAGTCATATTTTGAATCATCTCTCCTCCAATTTCAGACATTCTTGAATTTCAGTAATCCATAGAGGTCAACACGTTTGGCATATGTGCTTTCCCAGAACCTTCTGTCAGAATTTACAAGAGTTTGACCTATCTATAAAAACAATATTACAGTACATCGTTAAATGTATATAATATTATAAAAAGGAAGAATCTGAGAGAAAAAAAGAATATAAAATGGAGAAACTGATGCACTCACAGGCTATCTCAAGGTATCCCTCAATTGGGAGACCAAAGGCTGGCAACAGACCGGTGAGCTATCACCATACTCACGATTTGGATTAATCAAACACCATCTTTAGTTATCATCATTGGTATTCCTGGCTGTTCAAAGTGGAATATGGTACATAATGATCCAGAGTAAACCAACAAATAGAATGTGATACATGATCTTTAAAAAGTAATAACAATAAATTCAGAGTATTAAAAAAAAAAAAAACTGTATGCAGTCAAATATGTATACAAATGCCTCTACTTCAAATCCGCTTACCATGATAAAGAGATTGTCCCAACTTTCAATCCTGCATACTCACAAAAGAGTTGGAACTTCCAAGATGGCAATATCGAATATATATATATATATATATATATATACACACAGGGAACCTCAGATTTCCAATAGTCCCCATTCTGCCACCTAAAAAGCACAGCAGACAACGTCCATTATAGTTCCCATATTCTGTATATTCCTATAAAAGTCATTAGGGGTATATACAAAAGCATACCCAGTCTATTCTTACATCCATGGTGTTTATTTGCCAGATATCACTATGCCAGATAGTCAAGGCAATCATGTAGGTTATATTCCTTAGAGGCATGCAATAGACACATACGTGTCACTTGTTATATCCATGCAACACGATTTTACACATACAGTTTACATCTTATGTTATTCTTAGCCACCTGCAGTAATCCGGCTTCCCTCTATGGAGTATCCATCAGCCATTCACTCAGTGTGCTTTTCTGTGCCCTTATATATTGTAAAATGGTGCCACTGTCCTCACGGAATGCCATCTCTATTTCTGTTTTTTCCTTTTTGTAATATATACATTTAAAGATATTTTGTAATATTATATTTATAGATAGATCAAACTCTTGTAAATTCTAATTGAAGGTCCTGAGGAAGAACATATGCGAAACGTGTTGACCTCTATGGATTACTGGAATTGAAGAATGTCTGAAATTGGAGAGATGATTCATATATTTGAGTGATGACCTTATATTGTTTTTAATTACTTTTGTTATTCTGGATTTTTACATTTGTAATAAAAACAAATATTCTATTGATATAATTTAGTGTGTTCCCAGTAAAGTCTGTCAGTTTATATTTGGTTTGCAGCGCAGTGACGTTCAGTCACTTATCTCCACTCTACTCCTTCAGTGCTCACTGGAGCACCTGACTGGGGAGAACGCAGGCATGGCTGGCTCCGGCTCTTTGCTGTGAGCTAAAAGGTAGAGTAGATCCCGATAATATTGTCATGATCCTTCCTGAGCCTGGTGCAACTCTGCCCCTTCAGCAGATAGCAGGCAATAGCATGACAAAGTACAACTATAAAAACGTTTGCTGTATTTTTTCTTTTAAGTCACTTCTAACACTTTATATACTACAAAAAAGGCACATCTCTGCTTTTCCTTTTGTTTACCGTATATGCTGCAGTTTCAGAAAATCAATATAGGACATGTAGATGAGTTTGGATTGTTTTTCTTTTCAGGTGGTCTTTTGGTACCTTGTGCTCACTTTGGTGCTTATGTATGTGGCACAGAAATTGATTACAACACAGCGCACGGGCGAGGTGAGTGACTACTTCCTGTGTAAAGTTATGTCTAAAAAATTTAAAATTATGAGCAAGGCTTTTATATCTTTAGGAATTCTGTGTATTTTCTGTGTGTAGCCAAAGCACAAGGAACAGCAGTCAGAAATCTCTACTGTCTAAAGACCTAATAATCTATAGATATGAGAAATAAAATGAACATTTATGGAAATATACACAGCATTACATGTAGTCAAAACAAGATTCTGTATACTGTCTGGGAATCTTAACCAAGCTGTGAAGTGTGGTAGAGGGAATATATTGTGTCAAGACTACCATCTTACACCCTGAATAGCTGGAAGTTAATCAGGTATACGGTAATTAGATAAGTTGTATGACAAAACTCTGCAGCAGAATGTCAGGTTATTTGTCTGTGATCTAAAACTTAGTGGTTGTAAAGACCTTCATGCATTCTACTCCATGAAGGTAAAAAACCTTCAGTGTGCAGCAGTGCCCCCAGCCCCCTCAATACTTACCTCAGCCCCATCGACATCCAGCGATGTGCACACCCGCCTCGGCTGTCTTGGGTCTCTGCCTCCTCATTGGCTGAGACAGCAAGCGGGAGCCATTGGCTCCCGCTGCTGTCAATCACAGCCAGTTAGCCAATGAAGAGATAGTGGGCGGGTCCAAGCCATGGCTCCCTGTGTGAATGGACACACGGAGCAGCAGGTGCCCCCATAGCAAGTTGCTTAGTATGGGGGCACCTGACAGAAAGGAGCCTGCAGGGGACCCGAGAAGAGGAGTATCTGAGCTGCTCTCTACAAAACCACTACACAGAGCAGGTAAGTATACCATGTTTGTTATTTTACAAAAAAAAAAAAAAACAAACCTTTTAGCATCACTTTAAAAGAAGTTGGATTATTCCAACTGATTATGATTTTTGAATAAGGCCCCTTTTACATGTAGTAATTCTGTTGCAATCGGCAGGGTATCTGTGAGCTGATCCCCTGCTGATTGAAGCAGAGTAGAGGGATGACAAATCCATGTCTGTTCAGTATCTGTAGAGAAGACATGGGTAGAGCCCACTCTGCTCTATGGGCAGCCAGGAATAAACTGACTCTGCTTTCTGTTTACACAGGTCTACCTCCAATCCGCTCCATCTAAATGGAAGAGAAAAGAGTCCTCTCCTGTTTTTTTTAACAGGTCCCTAGCGATGATTGAACCTTCTGATCAGGTCCGCCTGAAAAACTGACAGGCAGACATGATTGGAACGCCCATCTGAAAGGGGCCTAACTAATCAAGAAAAGGCTTAAATTTATAGAAAATAAATATCTTATATTTGGGAAGTCAGAGTTCTGATTACATCACATTATTTCTGAAGGATGTAATGTAAAGGCGATTCAAAATATACATGAAATGTAACCATTTGTATATGGGGATAGGCCAAGATATACCTTAAAGTGACACAGGAAATACATTAAAGAAAAAAAAAAACACCCTGCTAAAGATTAATAATATCAGTCCAGTGGGTGGTAACTCCTGTATCATGTGTATAGTGTTGACAAGGGCATGTGATGCCCATGAGTGTGTCAGATGCTGAAAATTCTGCTGCTGTAGAGTGATGATAGGGGGCACTGCTAATTGGACCAGTAATTATTATTATTCATCTTTTGTAGAGTGCTTTGTGTGATGACAGTCACTTTAAAGTGGACCTAAATTCAAATGAAGAGTACTTTCGAAATGTTAATTGTATCTAAGCAGTAGCCTGAAACATTTACATTTTTATCTAGAGTTGCTCCTGAAAAATAACAGTATACTTGTGCTAGTATAAGGAGATTTGGGGTGAGATTTGTTGATGTCATTAGTGTGCTGTTCACTGTTCTCCTTTCTGGTGGCTCTTACATGAGGAAGCAAAGCCCTGCCTCTACCAAGATAGCTGCCGCACACAGAGAAACAGTGAAGAACAAGGGAGGGTAAGTCAGTAATGGGGGAATATTCAGTTGCAGTGAGACCGCAGGCAACACTAATAATTATTTGCCTGCTTTTTTTTTAATGCAATGTCCAGATTTCAGTTCCTTTTTAACTGTTGAACAGATATGATTAGGAGCCTCTGGAAAGGTTTGGTGAAGTCTTATTGTCAAGTCTGGTGCTTCAGCTCCTAAGCTACTATATACTTATGAGGTTCTTTGGGAAATGGGGTCCGAAGAACTCTTTAGATATGGTAAGTTCCTAGTGCATGTTCTGCAGACATGGCAGTCGCCAGTTGGATGTTCATGATTTTAATGTACATTAATTATGGGTTTTCTTTCCCTATTCCCCTGCTTTCCACCTTTCTGTTATAACCCTACCCAGGATTGGAGTGGGAAAAGACTTTAAATGGGGCAGCACTGTAGTGAATGGTAAATTGAAACCTCTGGCCTTTCTCAGGGAGGAGAGCGGGTGATTTCCAGTAGGCACATGGAGACATGCCCAATCTAAACACTTTTTTTCACACTCTGAGACCCTGTGGGGACCTAGAATCAGTAACCTAGTTTGAGCGTCTCTGTTTACTGTAAAACCCAATACTCCACTAGTACTTTGTATACATATTAAACTTTACTGAGCCTGGAGTCCAAAAATTGCCCCTATTTACTGAGGGAATGGGAGAGGGACCTAAATCTAGATGGTGCAGAGTACTTGGCAGGTGGGCTTTCATAAATCTGAATACACTGGGGTGTGTACTGCAGAGGGCACTTTCCTCACCTCTGGTGGGGATCCTAATATGTCAGGAAATTCTGGTTAAAAATACTGGGGTCATAACGTTTAGCCATGCTTTTTGATTTAATCCTCATTAGGAAATATAAAACTATTTTACTTACCTTCTCAATGCCAAGGACTCCATACCCTGCAGATAGAAAACTGCCTTAGGTACCATCCTTGAAAGAATGGTTTAGAGTAGTAAATGGGATCATGGAGAAGGATTCCTTCTATGCTATTTGGGCAGGATTGATACAATTCATAACAGAAACTTCTAGAGACCTGAATGTTTGATGGGGAATTATATTTGTTTTTATTGGTATTTCCTATTGTATGTTCTGCAGACATGGCAGTTAGCAGTTGAATGTCCATGATTTTAATATACAGTATATCAGTAGTAGTGTGTTTTCTTTCCCTATCCCCATACTTTTTCACTTTCCCTTTAACCCCTCCATTTTTGATACCCAGGGTTGGAGTGGGAAGAGATTTTATACAGGGCAGCACCCAGCTATCAGGGAACAGTTAGCCCCACTGGAGTTGCATTGTGCTTAATGTCATTTTGCCTGTATTAAAATCACACTATATACTACCTATTTGTGGTATAAGCAGTTGCTTTCCTGACAATTAGAGCTGAGTTGCTTTATGCTATGTATATGTCATGTGACCAGTTATGCCAGTATGTACTTTTGCTCCTCATTTACCCTGTGATAATAAATAAATACGGATCCTTGCAAAATGATTCCATCAAAATCTTGATTTTTTTTTTCTTATATCTGTAGCTATCGTGAGATGAGATCTTATAGGCCATATGCCTTACTCTGATTCTCTAGACTATTTATTATTATTATTATTATTATTATTATACAGTATTTATATAGCGCCAGAAGTTTTGCTCAGCGCTGTACATTATAGTGGGGGACAGTACATGAGACAATACAGTAACAAAACAATACACGAGGGGTTCAAGGGCCCTGCTCTTTCGAGCTTACAATCTAGGAGGGAGGGGATAGTGGTCCAGGAGGAAGTGGCTGTGGGAGATGGAGTGGTAGGAGGAGTGGAAGAGATCGGCTGTTAGGTGAGAGTGGGGTAGGCTTCCCTGAAGAGATGGTTTTCAGGGTGCGCCTAAAGGTGAGGAGAGTAGGTGACAGTCTGATGGATTGGGGTAGTGAGTTCCAGAGGATGGGGTAAGTCCTGGAGAAGTCCTGCAGTCAGGCGTGGGAGGAGGAGACCAGGGAACTAGAGAGTAGGAGGTCTTGTGAGGAGCGAAGAGTACGGGTTGGGTGGGATTTGGGTATCAGGTTGGTGAGGTAGTTTGGGGCAGCGTTGTGAATGGCTTTGTATGTCAATGTTAGTAGTTTAAATTTAATGCGTTGGGCAATCGGACGCCAGTGGAGGGAATGACAGAGGGGGGTGGCAGAAGCGGAGCGGTTGGTAAGGTGGATGAGTCTGGCCGCTGAGTTCAGGATAGACTGAAGCGGGGATAGCCTGTGTTGTGGTAGGCCGGTGAGGAGGAAGTTGCAGTAGTCCAGACGTGAGATAATAAGGGAGTGAACGAGTAGTTTAGTAGTGTCTGGGGTTAGGAACGTACGTATTTTGGAGATGTTGCGGAGGTGGAGTCTGCATGAGTTTGCCAGTGATTGGACATGGGGTTGGAAGGACAGGTTTGAGTCTAGAATGACACCTAGGACTTGGGCTTGTGGGGTGGGACTGATGGTGGCATTGTTGGTCGTGATGGAGAGGATGGGGAAAGGTTCAATTTGAGGAAATGGAGCGACATCCAGTCTGTCGTTCAGTAGGTCGGTGATACGGGCGGAGACTGAAGGGGTGAGGTGAGGGGTGGAGAAGTAAATTTGCGTGTCATCGGCGTAGAGGTGATAGTTGAAGCCGTGGGAGTGTATCAGTTTGCCGAGGTAGGAAGTGTAGATGGAGAAGAAAAGGGGCCCAAGGACAGAGCCTTGTGGGACCCCAACAGAGAGGGGGAGAGAGGGGGAGGTGGTAGCATTATAGGTAACGCTGAAGGAGCGTTGGGATAGATAGGAGGAGAGCCAGGAGAGAGCGGAGTCCCTGATGTCAAGGGAGTGTAGTTTATTAAGGAGGAGGGGGTGGTCAACTGTGTCGAAGGCCGCGGAGAGGTCGAGGAGTAGGAGGACTGAGTAGTGGCCATTAGCTTTGGCGGTTAGCAGGTCATTAGTGATTTTGAGTAGGGCGGTTTCAGTGAAGTGTAGGGGACGGAAGCCAGATTGTAGTGGGTCGAGGAGGTTGTTCTCAGTGAGGTGTGGGAGCTTAGGCGATTGTAGACTAAGCGC